TCTCGATATTAAATTCCCAGTTATTTCGCATTCAATTCTTAAATTCTTTGTGACGATAATATAAGTTACGGATGTTTTATCTATGAAGTCTAAATTTTTTTAAAGTACTCTTCCTTAAGTAAGTTGTGTAATTTAGATAATGTAAGGAACAGTAGAATAATTTTAAAGTAGAAAAATAGTATTGTTTCTTCATAAATTTTAACTTTCTCTATAATAAAAATAACTTTTCCCAATCATATGAATGGATTTAAATATTTAATATTTGAAAGCCTGGAACTAGATCGGAAGCATTTTTCTAATTGGAATTACTAACCTTTCCAATACGTAAAAATTACTCTCAAGACTTTTAACCAAAATTATTCTTTGAAATCCCCCATAAAATAGTTATCATTAGTTTCGAAATAGCATTTCGCTTAAATCTTGGAACTTGTCTTGCTTATAATTTCTTATGCATTCAAATTCCCTGTTCGTTTCTTTGTAGATGCGTTTCAGCGAACAATGGTTATACAGATTCAGTAATTTAATATTATATTTCGAATCAAGCTTTGTCTTAAAAAAAGTTAAAAAGGGTGCCAGAATAGCAAACTGTTTGCTATACGTAAAGTTAGTTTCAATCTGCATCAAAACATAGCTGATATTTACATAAAATGCTTACTAAGTTAAACAACTTTTTGAGTACTGTGAACGTTTGTACTCGACGTCATATCGATTAATGAAATTGTTATAAATTAAAATGCGGCTTTTTTATTCAGGTGGGAGGGGGGAGAAAGGTTTCTATTCCTTAAGTTAGATTTTCGTCAGATATTTTTGTTTCGTCCTCACCCCTGTAAAATGGGATTTTATTTCTCATTTTATGAAGTTTCCTCTCATTCTACGAATCAGTATTCTACGAATCAGACCAAGTCCATTTTGTTACAACAAAAAGCTTAGTAAATGAAGAAAAAAATGCGTTTTTTAATTCCAGCCAAATGATATTTCTGTATAATATTAAATTACTTGTATCTTCTTTTATCGAATGATAACAGGTAAAACACGAATGTTCCTCATCTTAAGTTAAATTTTCTTAGAAACGATGACTTAGATACAAAAGCACACACACACATTAAAAAAAAAAAAAAAAAAAAAAAAAAAAAAAAAGAAATTGGCACTTGAATAGTGAGATTGACTTTAACTTTATAAACGTATCTACTTTCAGTTTGCTTTGATCATTTTTAATATCACTACCCTCTTGTCATAATTATGTACAGCGTTCTTTGTAATGTATGTAGAGTACGGATATAAAACATTTAGGAAATTTTATGGGACTGCAGGATATAAGAACTTTGAAAGGTCCTATAATGAAGAAATAATATATATATAAGTATTAAAAGCCTAATACCTGCGCTGAAGCTTCATAATAAGAAATTAAAATTTATTTACAATATATATATTAATATAGTGCATATATTAATACAGAATATATATTAATGTATATAAAGAATACAGCAAGCCCGCTATGCTATTATTTCATGTACACAGGTATGTTTCGCAGTCATTTAAAGGAATAATCACGTGTTTTAAAAGGTGAGTCCATTTTCATACTTCAGTTAAATTATTTGCTAATTCTCGAGGGAAACAGTAAATTTTTCACAAAAATCATCCTTAAATTTTATACAAAGTATGAAGTGTTTTTACTTAGTGAACAAATATCTCGAATTTCAAGAAATTTCAAAGTTGCTGTTTGATGTATGTAATTAACTGACTGATTAACTGTGTCTAGATGTGGTGCTGGTCCTACACACACGGACTACACAGGAAAGTTGGTAAGTTGAACTTTCTTATTAAGTCTCTAGGGTATTTTATTTATTTATTATAAAAGCAGAGTTGTCATCGATTATTTTCGAAACAAATAATTTAAAGTAAATGAAGGATCTGCAGTTTACTACAGGTAAATTATGATGTTAAGGATAGCTTATAATTAAGTATATCACCAAAATCTGTCACAAATTCATGCAATATCTGTTGTTCATTTTGCTTTTATTTTATATTAAGTATTTTAAGAAAGTAATTTTGAAACGAGTTAATATAAACAACCAAACTTCTTTGCAGAAATATTTTGTCCTTGTTCCCTAAACATACGTATTTTGATCGTTTATATTTCTTTTGTTCTGTGTTTAGAAAGGAAATCTAGGAATTTTATTGCATATTTCTTTTCTTTTTAAATTCAGATGTGAAATTAATTGAAATATTTAAACTTTTTCAGCATGCCATTCAATTATTTTAAGTTTGGTTTGCAAGATATGGAAATCTAGTTTGCAATTATTGTCGAAATTTAAAAAATTAGTTTTCTCCTCTCCCCACATATTTTATGCTTTGCGAGAGGTTTTGCAGTTTTGTTTTTGGAAGCTAAGAAAATTTTGCCGATAAATTATATGTATTTTTCTTTGTCTTTTTCAAATGTGCTGGCTCTTCCCAATGAGACGTTAGGAAATAAAATCCGGTTTTATTTGCAGAGAAAAGGATAAATTTAGTAAGTCATTGCATAACTCTGATGTTAGAAAATATTGTAATTTATTATCATTAGGCAAAGTGCATTTTTCATTAAAATCAATGCAGAGGGAATACGACCCATTACAGCGATTATAAAGTTAAATCTGTCATTTAAGGTTTTTTTAGTTGAATCTTAAAATTTTTTGCTTCATTACTATTGTCAGCATACGTGTAATATAATGTTTGTAGCATTTAATTTGCATCTTAAATTAACGTATAATATAAGTTCAAGTCTAAAAATCCATAATGCCCCTTTTTTCACACCAATGAAAAAAATTTATACAGCGAGACTGGAAGAACTATGGATTATGACAAGAATTAGGATGTATGTCTGAATGCATGTGCATATAAATATACAAATGCATATTCACATATTTATAGTACCATTGTCAGTAGGACATGATTCCGTAGAGCGGAAAAAACCTGTTGAAACATATTGACAATATATAATAAGCTAAATGAAACAATAATCATCCAAGAAAAACTATAGTAATTTAGAAACATGTAGCTCCCGAGCACCTCCATATGTTTAAGTCTAGGAATTTAATGTCTTTTCCTTGTAAAAAAGGAACTTTAATATTAACATTTCAAAAATATTCGGGTTTCTTAAGTATTATTCAGTACATAAGCATACTCTACGACGATTATAGATCAGTACTGAATGTACAGAAATATTTCTTCATGATTTGAGCAGCAGTTCTTTACTCAGTTATGAAACGAAATTGTTCAGATATAAATTTGTTGCTTCTTTTTGTTTGCAGACAACTGATAATAAGTATTATCTCATACGTAACACATTTTTTTGTTTGCTTTCCTCTTTAGCGTAGTATAGTACAAGCAAAGACTGACAAGATACTAATTAATTAATTAATTAATATTTCAACCAGTGTCATAAAATGTTGATTTATATAAAGCTAATAATTGCTTGCATATATTGTCCTTTTAAATAAATGTTTATATTTAATAAATAAGTGAGAGTTTCACATTTTTTCCTGTGAAGAATTGAAGTTAATTAAAGGAAATTAATCATAAAAAATTCTCAATATTAAGCATAAATTTTCATGCAAATACAACTTTTAAATAATTTTAATAATCAGCTTTAATATCTGTATCATAAGGCTATTTCGATAGACGAGATTTAGTTCTCAAGTAAAGAAGTCTTTTAGTTAAAATTTCAAGCTCTTAATATCAGCTATGCATATAAACTCATTTAACATACATATGGCAATAAGTTCTCTTTATATTTCCGAACAATATGGTTTAAACTTGTATCAATACGGGTTCTAATGTTTCGGGGGGCGACAATAAAAATAGTTTCCCACAGTACTCACATCTCTTATATATATTTAGAATCACTGTAAAATAATTAGTTAATTACTTGTATTCTAATTTTAGACATTCTTTTCTTTAAAAGTAGTCAGATAAAGTAATGTAAGACTAAGCAGCATAATAAAATATTTCATTTTGTGCAGTTTACTTTGTTTCTTTTTGTAATTATGCAATTTAGGTTGGTAAGAAAATCTACTTTTGTTCATCCTAAATTTGAGAAAATTCTTTAAAGGTAACTCAAGTGCTCAGATCAATTTCTATGTCATCTTATTTTTACTTATCAAATCAAAGACTTGTACGCTCTTACGCGCATCAAATACAAGGTACATACATCAAATATAAGGTATACAACTAGAGGAAACATAGCTGCAGCATGTAAGTAAATTTTCTTATCTGCACTTCAGGAATATATTGCAACTACACTGTTTCAGTATTGTTATAAATTAGTGCGAAGGAAAAATTTCAGCCCCAATGCTCTCACGTCTTAGCATCAAATTCTAGGCTTATTTTTAGTGTCGATATCAAGTTTCTGAAGATCCATTATGTTATATGAAATTACTAATATAGATTATGCTTCCGTTCTCCATACCGGTTCTTCAAAAATTAATTTTACTCTCCTTTGAGATTTTTGTGTTGTCTTATCTTGAAACATTTGTAGTATCTTGTAAAGTTATTTTATAAAGCTATATGTGGTACACGCAGAGGGCTCGGGGCAACTCAATGCTAAGTCACATATGATCTTCTTTGTGTAGCAAAGAAGAGCTTAATCTTTTGTTTATTTATTTCTAATCTTGGGGATTTTTACCTGACCTATGTAGTTTGTAATTCGAAAAGTGAATATGAGATCTCTGTTAAAAGTAATTATTCAATTAGCCATTTTTTGGTTGGTTTACCAGCGGGTGTAAAGGCGCCAAGCAGGAACAATCGATGCAGAAGTTTTGAAAGCATTCATATGAACGTAAGTAGCATTTGATTTCCCCCCCTTTTTAGCGCATAACGCTAGGTTTAGCATTGTTTTGCCCCAGGCTCTTTGTGAAATTTTTATACAACCATAGTTATAAGTCATGATATTAGTCTGCAAAGGCTTAAATGAACGAATATCGCGAATAATATAAATATTATTTTACAGGTGTCTTGACTTGGACGCCTACACCTAAAATGCTTAGGAAGGGAAGAAGCAAATGAAACGATCTTGTGCAATTTCATTACTCATTCATCGTAAAGCTTCGATAGTTTTTGAGAAAATGTCAAGAATTAGGAAGAATCTGTGTTATTACAAATGATGTAAGATGGCAGTAGACAAGATGAAGAAAAGCGTTTAGAACATGAGCCCCGTAGAGTTACATTTTCTGCAAAGGATGGAGGGTGTAACATGAAATTAACTTTACTGTAGGAATGCTTTTTTCTGCAATGAACAATTTCTTCTACAAAGTATTGCTTTCTTTCATCGAGGAAATAGCATTGTAAAATATGGAGCAAGTGCTTCGAAAGTTTAAAGTACTTTCGCTCTACAAAATTCATCTCGACTTATTTTAACAGAAGAAGTTTTCAAACTTCCCCAAAAGACAAAAAAAATTTAAAGAGAAATCGAAAAGTGTGTTAAATCCACAACGTAAACAAAAGGCGAACAGGTAAAAATTTTGATTTTGAATTTGGGTGTATCGAAAAAATTTGACAAACAGTGATACTAGGAATTAATCGAATGGACATTTTTTAGATACGAAAGCTTGGACGAAGAATTGAAAAGGAAATATGAATAACATAACCAAAAAAAGGTAATGAAAATATTGACGTATTTATTGTAATTAGTGTGCTAAATAGTGCAAATAAAAACGCTGAACTGATGCATTTATATTTTATGTAGAATGTTTTATTATCATGGTTTGTGTTGCGTGAATAATTTGAGTAAACTTTTAATATGTGACTTAGCATTACGTTGCCCGAGCTCTTAGCTGCTCTTTCGCTCTTTAATTCTTTCCTGCAATTGTATTTTTTGTATATTTACGATATGCGATGGCATGTTTTGAAACCATCAATGGCATTAATTGTAGAAAATTCATATTTACAAATATGTTGTTTAATTAATACGTAACGGAAGAAGGAAGATGAAATAATTTAAGGGGGAGTTGTATATTCATCTGTGATGAGGTACTAAGAAAGCAGCCTTTATTACGTCAACTCTAAATTATGCTATAGTTTTGAATTCGTACTTTTTGCAGATGTTTATTTGACATACCATTCCGAGTGGATGTCAGTATATTTTGCTAATCAGTTGACAATTTACATTTATTTTGTATTGATGCTCACAGATTTATTTTGTGTTTACTTTGTAGTGCCTTAGAATGATTTCTTTTCTCTTGTCTAAAATATACTTTATTGTGATACAATGTTTATTCTCATCTCTTATTATTTAAAATATTTGCATCAATTATTGCAGCTATACTATGCTATACTATAAGTGAAAGAAATTTAAAATTTTCAAGAAAAGAGTGAAAATAATTTTGTCATTCAAATACCTGAATAAATATTTTTTCCTCTTCTTGGTTAAAGAAGACTTTTGAAAGATTATGAAAACAGGGTTTAATCAGAAGTGTGTCCGATTAAATAGTTCAAGCAGCAAATTTCAATTCAAGCAGGGCTTTTCATTTCATATCCGTGATATTCTTTCAGAAAGTTGTAAAAATATCTTGTTTAAGGCTATTAGCTGCGTTTATAACGACACAGTTTTATTGAAAATTTTAAGCATCTAATTTAAAAAAAAATTAGGAATATGCTATGTTTTTACGGAAAGTGGTTTAATGTTTAAAACTTGTTGTGGGTAAGCTTATAAGCAAGTATTAAGATTAATTTAGTACACGTGATTATATGGATTAGGACTCATAATAATTTTCATCATTTGCAAAATCAGAGAAATAATCCATATTTTAGTAATATATGTAAAATCTAATACTGCCAATGAAGTAAATATAGAGGAACGCTTTTCTTTAATTTTTATGTACGTTTCTGAAGCAGAAATTTTTAATTTTCTTAGTAACGCAATTAAAATTAATATACAGTTAATATACTGACAAATTAAAAAAGCTCCTAAGTTTTGATTCTTTTATCGAATCTTTTCATCGCCATCTTTTCTTTTCATGAAAATTCGCTGAAATAATTCTGCTCTGAAATGAGGTTTTATTGGAACGGTGTTGAGATTTTGTTTTGTTTGAAAAGAAATCAATTTGATTAACCCAAACAGAAATCCACGGGGAGCAGGAAAAAACCATATTAGTGTATACATTTCGAATAACCCGCAGTGCACTTCAATAAATCAGTTGCTTTAACTTTTATGAAGCTCGCATGTTTTCATTATTTTTCCCGAAAAGGATTATTTATAGGCAAAAGAATCATCTCCTAATTTGGGCTTATGCATTAATAGAAACATTAAGTGTTGGCATTTCTCTTTTCCAAAATTTTGCATACTAATGTATCGAGAGAAATCTATAGCGCTCTCATTAATGAACGATTCGTTGTGGTAAATCAAAACACTTACTTTTAATTAAAAGAAATGCAATAAGCATTGTCGGATAATTACCGCATTGCAAATACTCGTTTTTATACACATACTTCTGCTTTTATTTCTTTGTCCACCAAGATTTTAAAAATATATTTCAGAAAAAGAAGAAAAGGCTTTTGAAGAACTTTTGCCGCATAAATTTTGATATGCGCAAATCTCTAGAGTAGAAACAATGCAACCGCATTAAAGGAAATAGCGCGTAAAATCTTTAAAACATCTTTTTAATGCATTGTCTCTCTTAAATCGTACTTGAATTGTTGATAGTTATAATTCGTCACTGGGCTTTAAAAGGGGAGTAAAAAACTGAATTGGGCTTCCTCTGCTTTCCAATTTCAAATATATTCACGTTCAACTACAAAAAATTTCTGGAACACATAACAAAGAAATCGCCTTGTTTCGACGAGGCAGGCACAGCAAGTCCGTAACAGAAGTGCTTAGTTCTAAAAATTCGACACACGGAAGTTTCGATTGTTAATTGTTAGAATTACATTGTACATTTGCTTAGTCAAAGAATATGCATTTTAGGTTCTAAAAAAGGCGTATCATTATTCTTCAATCAAAATTTTCCCTCCTTTAAAAACTGAAAAATAAATGTATGGAAGGAAGAACAACCAAATCATTTCAGATAATGAGCATTAGGTAATGATTAAAATAATGAGCATAGAAATTAAAACATCCCCTTTACACTCTTTGCTCTAAAACAATACTGGCAATCACCTTAAAACGCGTTTATATGAATATATATTATTTAAACACCTGAAAGATATATTTCTAACAGCAAAGACTACTGTGATTGTGAGAGCTTTACAAAGCATTTTATAGATCTTTTAATACTTATATCATTTGTCTTAAAATAGATAGCATGTAAGACAAAAGTAAACAAAATTCTTTACAAATTTATATATAATTTTATTTTTATGTAAGTGTGCATCCAATCCCCATTTAAAGCTTCTTTAATAACACAGTCAAGTAGTTTTGTTTATCTTTTTGCTATTAGTCATCGACTAAAAATATCATATATCATATATATATACATATAATTTATTTACTAAATAATATTGATTAATTGAATATATTATCTCCTAAGTTTAATTAAAGTAGAATTATCTTAAAAGAGTGAATCCATACTAGTAAGTTTATATACATATATACGTAAATATTCTTCTCGGTGATCTAGTTTTGTTGCGTTCTGTCGAATGAAATCAAATGATTATCTGAAATTAGATGATCAAGTGTTTATTTAAGTAAAGTTGAATATTTTGAAAGACATGGTTTAGAATGGAAATTTATCATCGGATGCGCAATGTAGAAGTTTATTTTTTAAATTAAAAGATTATTTTGCTAATTAAAAAAATCTAGTATTTGTGCAGATAAATTGGTCTAACGATTCCTAGTGGACGGCCTAATGTTTTGTTCTGAAAATTGTTACAAATTTAATATCTTTATAAAATAATTTAATAATAATTTATCCTATAAATAATATCGATATATGAATCACTAAATGGTGTCACATAGGTATAAATGAAAGTAAATCAACGTTCTAATTACTTTCCAAACTGCCTTGTGTAATTTTAAATTAATTACTATTTTGAAAGCTATTACAAATAAAGAGAGACCATAATTTCTTTTGCAGTTATTTGTTGTATTAATAGTTGTATCAGCGTTTGCTTAACAGTTTCGTAATAACAATTTTATTCCTTATTAAAAAAATTCTAGCAACGTTTCTAAAAATTCAATAGTGATTAAAAAAAGAGAGAGAGAGAAAGAAAAAAATAAATTAGATGCAGTGTATTATTCTGTGAAAAGTAGCCGATTTTCATCTTTCTACCTATTAAAAGTCATGAGCGATGTACTGTGAGGAAAATGAAAGTGGAAAAAATAATACTTAAGTTTATTGGTAGGAAGGGGGAAAACATGAAATTTTACTGAAATTTGATATATAAATCTATGTTTTATATCTAAACGCTAAATAATAAAGAAGCTAATTTACTAAATATAATGTGAGATGCTTGTGAAAATATGGTAGTATGAAATTGAACTAGAAAGAAGTTTGGCTACACTCAGTACTGTCAAGTTTCAGATCGAGCCTGTGAAATGTTAGCATGGATTATAACAAGAATTTAGATCCCACGACGCTTCTAAATTCCGGAGAGATTTTGGAAGTGTCATGATTTCCAACTGCACTATACAAAGCATTTCAGATATGTCCTATAATGTAATTATGGATTTCGTGAAGCTGTTCTCTAAATACCCTCACTTTCAAGGTATTCAGCACCCAAACCCTATGTGGAAAAGCATCTCATCCTTGTAAATAAAATGAGTAATAGTAGGTCCTGCGTAAAAGTTTATGTAGGGTTCTGAGCTCCAGAGAAAACTAAAACCTTAAATATATAGTTACCTTTACCATAGTTGTGGTCATTTTTTCTGCTATTATAGAGATATTGTCAGGCTTCTAACTCTCTCCATATGCAAAAAAGTCGCAAATCGGAGTCTGAAAATTAAAGATGAATCTTGACTCTTCACTGAAAAGAACGCAGGTCTTTTGATCTTGGATTCAAACCTATTTTTGTATTTTGTCTGCATCATTCCAGAATACCATTTTCAACCGTAGTTCTTCACCATAAAGTGTCTTCTGAAAGATGGCGAAGAACCACCGATGAAAGAAGCATTTGACTGATTGACTTATATTCTTGTTTTTCAGTTTCGGTAAGAGATGGCGCATTTTTAATTGATTGGTTAAAATAAGATTTTTAATCTCTTTCATTTATCCCTGAGGTATTTCAGAGTTTATTTTTTTATCAATTTAAGTAAGATGGGAAAATTAAAGGCACAGAATATTTATGCTATGAGAAAATTCAAAATGGTATTATTTTACGAATTATTTATGGTGCTATAATATGTCATTCTCTTAATGTCAATACAATATTCAATGATTATTGTACTGCACATGCACCCAATTCGCGATAAGGATATTACTTATTTATTTAGTTAAAACCTCATTATATGGTTGCTATCTCGATCGTTTTTACATCTTAAGAAAGTATGGTAAATTGATACGGTTGAGAAACATAAGCTTGTAGTGTTGAAACCATCCTAAAAGCTTACATTATTAAACTTATTCAGAAAACTTGGAATTTACTACAAATGCAGCATTGCTTTATGGAATACGTAAACAAATATAAATGGTATCAGATGATATAAGGACGTGAAAACTATGCC